GACCAGAAACGACCCGGTTCCAGGTGCCCCCCCCCCGTGAAGGAGGCACCACAGGGGTGGAAGGGCCTTTCTCTGGCCCAGGGAAGAAAAACCCACGCAGAGAAGAATGAAGCGGTTCGGTAGGCAAGGCCGTTTGCTTAAACGAGGCTTTATTGAGCACACTCTGAGAAGTTTCTGTACAAAAGAACGTGCCCACAAGGACGTGCCAGGATGGGAGCCCAGCGGGTGCCCGGCCCAGGGGCACACGGGTTGCTGGGGAATTCGGTACCAAATTCACCTCATTTAGAGCTGGGCCACTTCATCCTCGACGAAGTGATGACTGGAGGAAACAAAAGGACTTTTTCCAGAGACTTGTCTCCAGCAGAATGAACAGAGTGGGGCCCGACACAGGCCTTGCTCTGAGGCCGGGGTGTTGACTTCTCCTGGGAGCAGGAGGAATGTTTTGCTTTTGGAAGTGAAGGGAAGCCAGCCCCTGGAGTTAACTTGCAGGTTTTAATCTATTTTAGATGGTTCCAGGAGATGCCCATCACTACGAGCACAGCAGTATCTGCAGGAAGCATCAGAACAGAGCAGTAGCAATATGGAGTGACAGTCGGGTGCCTCGCTTCCCAAACACACCTAGAGAGAGGCTGGATATCAGGCTGGCTATTTCAACTAGAGGATAAGAAAACCCTAGAGACACAGACACTAGAGGCACAAGTTACATGGTGAATGACGTGCTGTTTCTGGAGTATGCTGTGAACTTCTACCACGGCAGAGTTTCCCCTTGCCAGTCCAGGAAGGAGCCATTTTCCTTTTCACCAAGACGGTCCAGGACAGAGAGAATACCTGGGATAGCCTCTTGCACCTGCATGGGAGCCTAGAGCAAATCAAGGTTAGAGCAAATCAAGGTTAGGTTATTACTGTGGAAGAGAATCAAATGCATTTAAGGAGTTGTTAGAATCAAGGGGGATGTATTTTCATATTTCACAGCGTGCTTCTGCAGCTCATGAAGTGTGTTCTGTACTGTGGGTTCTTGCTCACAGGTTGGGACAACAGGGGAGTCCCACTTGCACATTTGCAGAGAGATGTCACTTACCATGTTGCCACCCATGTCAGTCTGGAGCCAGCCTGGATGCAAAGAAATGCAGAGAATTCCATCGGATTTCAAATCTGCAGCGAGACACCTGGTGATCATGTTCAGGGCAGTCTACAAGAGTGGAAACCATCTGTTAGTGTACTAGTTTTGCAGACCTTGAGCAAGGCCTTCAGCCAAGCTAACTGGCACCTCCCTTCCACCACACTGTCTCCTGACAGATGAAGGGACATTAACAGGATCACAGTAACTCATCCAGACTTATTGGGGGCTTCGTTCTCTGAGGTATCTGCTAAGAGAAGCACTGTGAAAGGTCTGTCACTATCACCATAAGCTTGCTGCCCAAAGAGAAAACAAAGTTATGATAGTAGATAAAGTAACATTTGAAACTCCTAAGGAACCGTAGGGAAAATAATATCCACATAAGGACTCTGTTTTTCTGCAATAATCACTACACAAACATTCAGGTTTTTCATTTCTGAGCAGGGAAAACAAGTACATTAACAGCTTATGAGGAGGTGGTGTAGGAGAAACTGAATGTCTGATCTTGACTATTCACACAAACTCAGTCTGTAGTTGTGACAAAACTAAAAACCCCACCTCTCCCTGGCTAGCATTACCATGTACAGGTCAGCACACGTTTTGTTGAGTTTCATGCCTGCTGTGTTGCTTGGATTGGAGAGGAGCACAGCTAATAACACTTGAAACACACTTGATGGCATCAGTTCTTCTCTGGATGCCAAATCCCTCTGGAATGGATCTCTAGCAGAGTAGTGATGGAGCATTTGTGAGCCTGCTTTGAAGAAGTTGGTGAGCTTGCCCCAGGTGTTTGGTTTTCACAGGTCCCATTTCCACCCACGTGAAGAACAGGATCAGTTCCATGTCAACCTACCCAAGGAGGTGCTGGACACCTCCCATCACCTTCGGAAGCTCAGAGTGGTCTTTAACTCCCAGGCCTGTCCTCACCCAGTGAGCACAGACCAAGCCTACAAACCTTGGCTATCCTGTAGGGGTAGACCTTGAGGAACATCTCATTTGCCTGGACGAGTTGCATGGAGGCAGCAAGAGAGGACATATTGATGATAGCAGCTCTGTGGCAACCCATTCCTGAGCTCAGCTGGGCTGCCTTCCTCAGAAGGGGTAGAAAGGCCTGTGAAACAAGAGCTGGTTTTAGTTTGGTCAGCTCCTTTGTGGCCCAGTCAAGGCAAGCTGGACTCTCAGGTTCTGCTCTGTGAAGAACTGCAGCACAACCCCATGCCAACAGCACAGGATGGTGGTGGCTCCCCAGACAAGCTGATGGTTAGAAAACCTTTTTGTACCTTCATGTCTCTTCTGCCCATCTCCTCACCCAGCCCATGCACTGAAGTGACCTCGTAACAATGGATTTAAATCAAGAGAAAGGTCCTGGACAGAAAGGAGCTGCTTGTGCTCTCGGCGGTTTGATAGCAGACCTGTCCCCGTGCAGTTCCAAGGTGACAAATGCCTCAGTTACTTGTCCAGATCACTAGTGGAAAAGCCTCTTACAGTACCACAGATTCAGCACATTCCTCCCAACTCTTACCTTGGTGACCATCAGCTGGGCAACCGTGTTGGTTTCATAGATGGTGAGCATTGTCTCTGCTGTGACCTCCTCCAGAGAAGCCAGCACATTGATGCCCGCGTTGTTAATGAGGCAGTTCAGACCTTTGTCTCCCACAATTTCTTCCACTTCCTTGACTACTTTCTTGATGCTGTTTTCACAGACCACATCTGCACAGAGGAGCCAAGAACAACCACAGTAAACAGCCTGGGTCAGATGCCATCTGTCACTGTCCAACACATGCTAAACCAAAGGTAAGGCACCAGTCTGAATGGGGACATGTAGGCAGCACACAGAGGTGACAATGCACAAAAGAATTTAAATAGATTGTGTTTCCTCAATATCATCTTAAGATGAGGATGATTGTTTTCAGGTGCTGGTGCTCATGTACAGCTACTGATCACCCAGGACAGCAGGTTCTTCAGATGGATTCAGCTGACTCAGGGGACCAGAGCTCTGAGTAAACCCTTTACTCACCCAGTTGGAGTAGCTTGATATTGCTGTATTGCTTGCTAAGCTGCTGGAGTTCCTAGGAAGAAGAAATTATTTGAGTTATATTTTAAATATATACACACATCCATAGCTCCTACAGAGCACAGCTTGAGATCTGCACCTCCAGAGCTGTACCTGCCCCTTCCTCTCAGTGTTGGTCTGAAGGCAGTCATGCTGCTTTGCTTTCCAACCTGCTGAGCAGCTTTCCTCACAGCAAGAAAACTTGCTGACTGCTCCAAAAACTGGGGCTCTTCACCTTAGCCAAGACACTCAGATCACAGCTCAGATCAGATCTCAGTGTGTGCAGCTCAGGGGGGTGTTTGCAGTGTCACCAAAGCATCACACTCCTGAAGCTCAGACAGTGCTTGACATCAGTTCAGGGCAATAGGAAGGCTTTAGAAAAGCCATTTGGAATTACTGGTTCCAGGAAAAGTTTCCTAGCAATTCTTCCATGGAAATTCTGTCTCTCAGCACACTCATTATCTGCAGTTCTTGTAACCGAAGGTAAAGCAGACCTGACATCAGTTACACATACAGCAGTTGTCCAGGAGAACAATCCCCTCTCTGCTCAATAGCAACCACTCAGCCATCTGTCTGCTACCCCAGGAATGACTTGGAGAAAATCAGTACTATAGTGGTGATGCTGCTGGGCAAAATGTGTCCAAATTGGATGTATAGGTACAGCTGGAGCACTTAGGTTTCTGTGCCATGCAGCCAAGTGGAAAGTGTGGCCAAATGTAGCAGATGGGTTACATTCCCATCCTTAGGAGACTGAGCAACCCTGGCGAAACATTCCAACTCAAGCAAATCCATCTCTTTAGGAGCCCTTTGGGAAGAGGGGTCAGGAGGGCTGGTTTTGAAAAAGTTCTTATTTGCCACTTGGAGACTCACAGGGACTCCTTGTCCTCTGTCAGGCTATAATGCATCACATCTTTTATCTCAGTTCATACCCTGCAGGATTCTCTTCAGGCTTGTTTATAAAATTTGTTCTCCCTCTGAGGACAATCTACAACTGCAGTTAAGGCTGGAAAGGGGAGGGGGGCGGGAGGGGAACGAGTCAGAAGAACAAAACCAAAAGACATTCCTTCCTTGGACAGGCCTTAGTGGGGCAGTTTCCAACAGATTAAAGGCCCAGAACAAACTATCTTGTTTATTGATAGCAGGCATGAAATAGTTCTGCCATGTCAAGGCCTGCAATAATTATGTGGTTTTGGACTGTCCACTGGACTTTAGTTTGACAGGATTACTTGATAATGAACTCCAGAAGTGCTCTGGCTTCTCAAGGTTTCTTCATTTATTTATAGTCGGACTGTTTTACTCTCTGACAGAAACAAGCTACTAACTTTTGCTAAAAGGCCAGAGATGTTTTGTGTAGTGACAGCAGCTGAGAGGCTTCTGAAGTGTGTAAGCAATACGTTCAGTTAAGAACTCCAAACACTGCAGCATTAAGCTCCAGCACATTAACAGCATGAAACTACAATTGCTGCATGCAATTCAGGTTTAAATCCAATGTTTTTTCCATTTAGTTAATTACTTAGTTAACAAGTGACTCCCAATTCAGCGGATTAAGTTTCTCAGAAGCAGCTTCCAGGCATAAATCTAACCCAGACAGCTTTGGTCTTCAAGAATGTTATTCCACCTGATACAAACAGAAGCTGAAAAATCCAGTCAGGAAACCTACAAATTGCAGAAAAGTCTATTCTTTTCCCTACTGTGTCTAGAAGGAACATGTGGAGAGGAGGACCAGGACAGTTTCATGGCAGTGCAATCAGACACAAGCATTTCAGGCCACCAGCCACTTCTCCTCCCTTCCCACCCCAAGTAGTTGTGGTCAAAGAGATCAAAAGCCTCCTGTGTTCAGGGAACTCCACCAACTAATGGACAAACGAACACACACACACTAGTTGCTGACACCCCACTGAGGGGATAAGCTTTCCTGAAACTCACTGTCCTCATCTGTCAAATGCCTTGTTGTCCTTCCCTCTCCATTAAAACCAAAGCAAACTCCACCAACCAAAAAAAAAATAAACCCAAAACAACAAAAAACAAACCTACACCACCAAAGGGGATTTTTTTTTGCAGCAAACTAGTCCTCGTTTTTTATGCCAACAAAGGTACTGCACCCAGGACAAGGAGGTGAAATCCCTGAGGAGACAAGCTCTGGGAGCAGAGCTCCTGCAGTGGGAATGTGGACACAGGGACAGTGAGCTCTCTGCTACTGCTGGTCCAAGTGCAGCTTGTGTTTTAATGCCAGTTTACCCAGTTTCATTTCAAGATAGCAGGTACAGCCCAGGCTAAGTCATTTTTAGTGAGTGTGCTCTGACAGCCACTTCTAAAACAAAGAAGACAGACAAACCCAAGAGACCCCCCCAACACAGCCCCCTAAAACTGTGTTTAGCACAGCAGCTCTCCAGGTGCTCCTCACCTGAATAGTTAGTTACCCCTGAGAATCAGGTCTGAGGGATTCTAAGAAAACTTTAAACTCTGATTAGCATCTGTTTTTTCCTGCTTGCTGATTTTAATTACAATTAACCAAGAGTCAGCCTACTCCAGTTTAAACAAGATCCTCTGGCACTCAGGGCTCCAGATACAGATTAATAATTATTTATTGCTAGATTTCAACCCAGAATGTTGTGTTGTCTGCGTCATTTAGCAAGATTTACTTTGTCTTCTTAATGAAAGCATTATTCACTTCAGCTACAACTCTTGGAAAGGACCTGGCCACAGTTGGAAGCCATCACACCAAGCTAACATCTCCCATGGGCAGCATTGTCAGGCAAAGGGTATTTGGGTTTCCTTTCACATCCTCCTGCTTGCACTCAGGACACAGTCAGGGGTTTATCAGATGTGCCGTGTCTCTCTGAGACAGGCTGCTCAGTGTCACAATGTCCAGCCAACTCCCTGTTGAATGGTGGGACAGCTCACAGCAACTGCTGCAGACCCCCCAAGTCCCCAGTCCTCTCTTGATTCAGACCTGAATGCTGCAGGAAGTGCAAAACACTGGCAGAAGAACAAAACCAAACAACCAACACCGTCATAACCCCAAATTAGAACGACTTCAAGACCCCCCCTTTTGCCTGATACCTCATGAGAGTGGCTGCTCCAGGGGCTGCTCTGCTGCTCTTCCCCATTGCAGAGCACACAGCTCAAATATGTAGCAAAGAAAAAACAAAACCAAGCCCTGACAGAGACAATGTGCAGGAGCCCTGCAGAGCCCTGTGTCTGACAAGGGAACAGACACAGCACTCTCAGTAACACTATCTCCTACTCCAGAGGAAAGGAAACAGCACATTAAGCCCTGGAAGCTTTCCAGAGCCCAGCAGAGGACTCCTGAGCAGCAAGGAACTGAACACTTTCTTGTTCACCTGGGAACACTGCTTGGGAGAACAGGAGGAACATGAGATGCTCCTGTCCCCAGGTCCCACCTCCAGCTTTCAGCACAGCCCAGGAAACACTGTGAACTGATTCACACCACAGCTATTTGGATCCCACCAGCTCCCTCACTTCCCCAAAAAGCCATCTCCTTCTTCCATACCTCAGCAGGTCAGAGGGGGGACCACAGGGGCTACACCATCATCAGCTGGAGTCTTAGACCTTGGGTCAGAGTTTTATCCCTTTTATGGGGAAGCAGGAAAGGGAAAGAAAGAGGAAGAAAGAAAAGCTGGAGGGGGGAGAACTCCAGATGTGTCCAGGAGCCCATACAGGCTGCCTAATAATAACTGTACTGTGGTTTTGTCCATCTGGAGTGCAAAGACAGGATGTATCTTGTGAGAGATTTGTAGCTGCTTCCACTCTCAGCCTCAGCAAAGCAGATCAGACTCCACTTGTGGCTGCAGGAGTCTGGTGTGGTACTTTTCCAGGAGGGGCAGTGGTTATCTAGCTGCCTGCAGGCCTGCTGCATGTTATCGTGTGATCTGGAGCCCATTTGTTAGGCAAATGTTCTGTGGAGGCCACCTAGGAGCTACTCAGCACAAGAACTCGAGTTATTACAACTTCTGCCAGCCCAGACTCACATGCAAAAGCTTGCAGCTGCTCAGCATGATCCCGGGGTGAGCAAGTTACAGGAGACCTGCTCCTTTCTGTAGGAAGCAGAGGGAAGCAGAGTCAGACTCTTCTCCAGCAGCTCTTCTGCTGAAGAGTCTGCTTCAGTCTTCTGAAGTCAAGCCCTGTCTGTCCACAGTTCGGAGGACTCCAAAGCTTGCAGTTATGTGTGTGATGTTACACCCTGCTGGGAGATTCCCTGGATAACTCTCACCTCCCAGGGAATTGCTGCTATCAGCCCAAGCTGGGTGCTGGATTTGCCAATAGCCAAGCACATTTAATCACTTTTCTTCTAAAAACTGGGAGAGGACTTTTTAAGAGGCTTTACATTTGAGTTCTTCCCATCTTCTTTTATTTTCCCTCCCTGCATCCTGCACCAGGAAACCAGGTGACAGCAGAATTAAGAGGACTGTACAAAGCTGCTGCTCTCCAAGTTCATTCCCTAATCCAGGAGATGGAGTGAGGGGCAGAACACTCATGTGAAGCAGGATTTTTTACATGGTCACTCACCACAAAGCAAAATTTTTGACTGAGTCACTGTCAAGAGAAAAAGCAAGAGAAAAGCTCAGGGGTGCAGAGAAAGAACAAGTCACTCAATTTTACAGCCCAGACTGCAGGGTCAACAAACAGGTCTGAGATGGGCAAAGCCCATTTCAGGTGCACCAGGACATATCTGCAGTGCCAGCCTTTGGAGCACAGGAATCTGAACTCTGCCTTTTCAAGATTTGACTGGAAAATCAGTGAAGGCAGAAAGTTTTCACTCTGGGAAAGGAAAAAAAAAAAAAAGAGAATGACTGAACCTTTGCCCTTTCTTTCCACAGCAAGCTCAAGCAGCAGTGCCAACTGGGATCTGAGATGGTCAGTGGTGGATGGTGCTCAGACTCCTCTTGCTAGAGGCTCCAGCACGTCTGTGCTTGCCCTTTGGCAACTAGGACTAGTGGCATGGTGCTAACACACCTCAGAAGGCCAGAGAATGCCAACTTTATGCACTGCAGATGGTACAGATCATACTGGTGAGACTCCTACAATACCTTCAGCAAAGATTCCCCTTCCTTGTGGATTTTCCAAACCCATCTGTTAGAAATAAGCTTTCAGCTGGCTGCAGAGGTTCCTATTGATGTTCTGCCAAGGCACAGCACATGGCCTAGAGGTCCTTACAAAGAACAAAAACCCACCCTGATCCACCAAGGACAAAACTTGCCCCCCTCCCCTCAAAAAAAAATAAAATAAGAAACAAATAAAAAAAGGGCTTTGGATGCACCCATGTGGCCTGCAGGATCACCAGGGGCTTGCTGGAATGTGGCTCCTGGCCAATTTCCTGCCTACAAGAGACAAAACTGCCAGCAGACTTTCCAGGTTTCTCCTGCTGCAAGGAAGGAGTGACCCAGACTCTTCCCAGGCTCTCTGCACTCCCCCAAGGCTGTTTCATCTCCTTGTGCAGCTTTACCAGCTTTTTTTTTTTTTTTTTAACTCAAGATGTTCAAGTAGTGGCCATGTGAAAATCTTCCCCAGCTGTGTGAAGGTACCTCTGTCTAATGTTTCCTTGGAAGCTCTTGGTATTGAAGGAACCATTTCACTTCTCCATGTAATTGATCCAAGCCCATTATAAAGAGAAATCACTGCTGGACACAAGGGCCAATTGGTGAAAAAAGAGAACCTCCCTCAGCACAGCTGAGGCAGCTTTAGCACAAACAACTGAGCAGGGAGATTTTATCTAACAACAGGTCAGATGTCTGCACTGGTTTCCTGAACCACAGGCTGCTCTACAGCCCCTGATAGGAAATACAGCTGGGACTGGTGCCAGATCTTGTAACAGGAGTTCAAAGCCAACAGAAGGGGAGTGAATACCTGGTCAGGAGCTCATGCAGGGCTGAGGGGGCAGCTGCAGGAGCCAGTGGCTCTGAAAGGCAGACTGTGCACCCATTTCAGTCTTGCTGGGCTGTTTCTCAGCCATTCCATTCAGAAAGACCCTAAATGTGCTTTTTGTGCTGGTGAGATTTGACAAGAAGAAGCAACATTAAGACCTTTTCCTTCAGTTTATTGGAGCACCTGTAGAGCAGCTTCTGGTGACAGTGAGTGGTGGGACTGCATGGGTTACCTGACCAACCCCCCACTGCCACCCTTGAAGAGGACCCTGGGCACCACTTTTTAAGGTTTTTGTGTAGCTAAGCAGTACACAAAGTTTTGTTTATTGGTTTGATCACAGTTTGCACTGGAAAGAATAAACCCCACCAGGAGGGAACAGACATCTAAGCCGTTTCCCCCTGCACGTGCCAGGGATTTTACCTTTCACTGAGGCAGCCTTGGGCTGTGCTTGAAAGAGTGCAGGTGCAGATGCGGAGCTGCTTTTATCAACACTCCACACCACAGGGGGCTGAGACAGTCCCAGAGCTGGGAGCTCAGCTTCTCCCAGCTTGAGAGGACTCGAGTTTTCCTGGGAAAAACTTGCCTGTGGTGCTGTGCTGCCCCAGCAGCCTCCGAGCTGGCTGGGGAGAGCCAGGATCAGACTGGAGATGCAACAGAGGACACTAGTGGCCACAAAGTCAGCAGACTGATAACTCTCATTATCAGTTTCCCCCCAAAAGGTTCAGATAGTGCCTTTAATTTGTCTGAGAGTCATTTATAACAGTCTAGGGGTAGGGAAGGAGTCCAGACACTACTGGAGCAAATGAGGGCTGAAAGGGGAAAGGGTTGCAAGTGAATTAATTAATCAGCAACAGGTAACAAAGTTTATATGCTTTCAGCAGAAAGCTCTGGTCCCTGATCAGCCACGGAGGATGCTAAGGGGAGGGTTTAATTTGTTACTGATTTCGGCCCTGTCACTTCCCAAGTCCTGTAGGGGAAAGGAAGCAGCAGACGGGGCACAGCTCCTCTGGGCACACAGACACACTGAGTAGAGCAGGACAGGAAAGCTGCAAAGGGCTCCCCTGGGAAGGTTTCTCGAGGATGGACTAGTCCTGAAAGCTGGAGAAGGCCAGGACACACTAATCTCCAGCTGCAAATCCAGGGACGAACTCGGGGGCCAGAAGAGGCATCTGGCAGGAGCCCTTGAGATGCTGCAGCTGCCCGGGGCTGCTGTCCCGGCTCGGCTCTCCCCTCCCTTGGGGAAGGGGCACAAAACTTGCAGCACCACCCCGAGCGGGTTCCCCCCCCAGCCCCGGAGACTTTGACCGGCGCCGGCCCATCCGACCCAGCCGGGAGCTCAGCCCTCCCATCCATCCCAGCTCCCCTCCATCCCACTTGCTGCCGGGACACCAGCAGAGATGCTGGATCTGCTCTGCACTTCCAGAAATGTCACCTCCTTCCCCGCCAACCCCTTCCCCACCAGCCCCCGGTGCTGCCAGGACATCTGCTCCGGGGCTGCATCTCCTCTCCAGAGGGACCTGGAGTGCATGTCTGGGTAGGGACACCCCCGGCCCCCTCAAACCCCGGGGTTACCTGCGCCTTCTCGGGGTATCGACAGGTGGCAA